ACCATTTACATAATATTTAAACTTATGAAAAATAGAAAATCGATTTAAATCTAGGCAAGAAAATTGGAAGATCCCTCATACACAATGACATAGTAAATGCTGAACCTTCCCAATCACCAATCCGCCCAGCTAACGTAAATATTTAAGCAAATCGTTTATGGTTCCGTACCAATTATTACAAGTTAAAAAGGGCAATTATCCTGAAGTAGATATAGAGAGACGCGAAAAGAAAAAGGGGATTTACATAATCCAAACCGTTAGTAGCACCAAGATATCCCATCTAATCTGTATTAAATCGTTTAATTTCAAATGCAATGCATCCATTCAATGAGATCCTTGGCAAGGAAGGCACTTAAAATATATCGAATAATGATTAATTAATTATATACATAATTTACTAAATTGTACTAGTTCATCCGATTTGGCACACCCTCTTATTTATTTCTGTTGCTCTCTGTTCCGGTTTGAAGAGTTAGAGTGCTAATATACGAAAAGATTATGAGGCATTCCTCTATTAATGTTTAGAGATGAAAACACATCAGTGGTTCATTTTTTTTTAATTTTTGTACGATATCCATGAGCACACTACAGATTAGCTGGTTTATTTGCTCATTTTTAGTTAATAATATTAAAAGTTAAAATCTATCGATAAAGTCCGTGGAAAGTTTAATACATGGCAGTCCTACTTTTGATTGGAAACAGCAACACCAAGTGACAAGCGATTACAGCGGCCATTACTATTGGCTACATAACTCAACAAGTACCGTGCAATATTACAAAATACGCTACGAACCCAGTATTGCTAGTGTGGCTTGATCAGAACTTACGTTGGCATGTGTGAAAAGTTTACATTTTCAAACTAAAAGTTCTAAACTATATTTTTATGATATATAATACCATAAAAATACTTTTATTGTATTGAATAATATGACTTTCAAACAAATTTGTCGGTACGATACATGCAACACTTACTGTAAGTTAATTGTATTATACAATAAGTTGACAATGTTTTACCGCAATCTGATGAACGATATGGCAGCGCATAAAATACACACAAACAAATATTAATTTTTATATATTAAGATAAGGTGGGAATGAGTAAGAATTTACATGCAATGACAAAACTTTTAACTTAAGACTAACTTAAAACTTGTAACATTCTGGCAACACTAAAAAGGAACCTCGATTCTATTTTAGAAAGCATTAAAAATTTTCATTAAAGTTCCATTAATTATATACCATACTATTTTGTATTATTTGTTGTAAGCAAATTACGTCGGTTTTAATAAATTTTACATATTTTTATAATTAATTCATGCACCCCAACCAAACGAGAGCACTAAATATTACTACACAAAGGTAACGATAGAGGTGTGTCAGGATCGAGCCTAATGGAGGACCGTAGTCTCTGCCTACCCCTCTGGGTGACAGGCGTTAGTGTTTATGTTTAAAAAGAATTTAAGTAAGTATTAACAAAGTCATCCACATTAACCCATACCACATTTGTATTATTATTAGGTATCAGCTATACATATTCAATTTTCAATAACGACCAAATGCTACTTCTAAATATGTAGGTGAGAGCTAGGTATCAACAAGGAGAAATTCTTTCACTTCACTTTGTGGTGACAGTACGATTTTCTGAAAAAGTTTTTTTTTTATATTTTTTTAAGCTATTGCATAGCTTCTATCGCGGGCCTTGAGCGCGGGGACCGAATCCAGAAGTTCCGTAACGAAAAAACCTTACGCTCCCCACTCCGACGGGCACGGAGGTGTGGCGTTGAAAGCCGTGCATCGTCTAACGTCGTTTCAGTATTCGGCAGACTTCGGCACGGTGTTTGTGTGGGTGTGACTAGACGTATGCGTGTACATAGCTGCTAACTCAATGATAAAAATTCCTGAATAACCTACATGTATTGTAAGATATTAAAAATATTTTAAACAATATTAACTTCTCATTTATTCAATAAGAGAAAAAAAATTGTTTTCTTATCGGTCACCACGCTCAAAAAGTGTAACTTGATTTAATATCAAAGACTTAACTGCATAAATAAAATAAATAAATAATTATAATTGCATAAGTTGATAAAAAATGCTATGCAATAGCTTTACCGCGGCAGTCACCGAGTGCCACACGTATTTATTTATTTTTGTATATAATACATAACATTTTAAACAAAAATTTATACCTATGTTCATAATAACTATAATTATATTAACACCTAAATTCACCCCCAAAATTACACAAGTACTACTCTCTTATCTTTATCGGCCCCCTAAAGTCCACTACTGGATATGAAGCTCTCCAGATTAAGGAGGATTTGCCATCAGATCAGACGAAAGATTATTCTGGTGTTTCCCATAGTCATCCACAAAACGAAATCGGGTGATGGATTTTCTTGAAGGCCTAAATGCTCTGCATATTACGACAATTAAAAAACAATTAAACAATAAAACTCTATCAATGCAATGACAGGTACGTTTGTCATAAATTAAGCACATTACCTACCTACTGAACGAGATAAAAATAAACAATTGCATCTGTTAATTATAATTTACTCAAGGTGAAATTTTACATTAAGGCGAATATTGAAGTCTTGAACAATGGCTCGGCATCACAAGGCCGAATAAACAATAGCCTTAGCAGAAGTGATTTTGGAAATGCGAAGGCCGTTGTTGTTCCGATGAGTGATAAGCCCTTCCTCCTTGTTAACAGAGATAGATTATTACACGGGCTGGTGACCGTTGCAGCTTATTTATAATGTAATGTCTAGTGACAACATTTTTCTTCTAGGGAGTCCTAGGTACTAGATAGCCTAAAGAGGCCAGTAAGTAGTAAGTAAGCCAGTTTGCGCATTATTTCTCTCTTCTAAACTATTTGATGTTAGCGCGGCCGCAAATTCAAATCATAACTTAATATCCTCTGAATTTCAAAGTATCAAATTAAATTCTATTGGGAGAAGTGGATCAAATTTTGTTCATTTTAATAAGTAGGTCTAGTACCTATCGTCGATTACTAAATCAGTGGCGTCACTTCAAAACGAAGTGGGAAACGGGAGTGATTAAAAACTATATTTTAGCTCTCACTATCAAAAGTTAACGTTTGTTTGTGAAGTTTTTTAATTTTACTTTTGCAAGTAGAGAGCAAAAGATAAAGTCGACGTCAAAAAATTGATATAGAGTAAGTTCTCTAAACATGGACTACTCCCATAATATGTACCATAGTAATATTGTTTTTATTATACTGTGGTAATATTCTGCAAGATGGTGCTGGTGCGCTATGAAAGCGAAGTTAGCTGCAATCGATAACCTTGTCTTGCAACATCTCGCCAGAAACTGTAGCAGAAGCAGAGCTACATGTGCGACCGTGCCAACAGCAGACATTTTGAGATTTTAGCGCTGCTTTGATGTATTTTTTCGACGAACTTTGTAACATTATTACTGCTACAATTATAATCGTTATATTTTGACTGTCTACATTCTGAAAATGTTATAGTATGACTAATTATTCTTAAACTTACCCGTAGCTATATCTCATCATTTTGTAATATGGACCTATGATTGGTTTTAAAAATGGACTAGTGGTTCATATTACGATCCACTGGTCCGTGATGTAAACCTTGTTAACTTTACACCCAAATCTCTCATTTTTTTAACCAACTGGTACCTACATCTATTGCGCGGCTGAAGGATTTTAACAAGGAAAATGTAAACACTTTTCTCAAGCTGATAGAAGAAGTTTTTTCCCAATATTTTCCAAGCCTGTGTTTACGTGGTAGAGCCATGGTGTAGCTAATCTTAAGACGGCTATACATATTGACCCTAGCTCGCTAAGCGAAGGCAAATACCAACGAATAGACATCCTGTTTGTCTAACTTGCCAACGTGTACATACGATTCGTATGACGTGCCTTAGCCCCCTTCGGGATCGCGCGCCACTACTCGTCTCAACCACGCTCTCACAGAGTACCAGCGTAATAAATGTGTTTCGTATACTAAGTGTAGAGAACCGGAGACCCTTTTTACTGGATGCGAGGCATTCCATCTTAGTCCTCACGTCCTCCACATGTAGATGTCTGTAGGCAACAGAATCCACTTACGATCAGGTGTGGTCATCAGGTATCATCACATGTGTGCTAGCTTGTCACCCTATTTCTATATAAAAAGTAAAAGGTAACTTTCAATAAAATTTATATCCCTTTCAGACCGGCGCCAAAACTAGACAGAATTCGTCCGGAAAAAAAGTCGCACCTGCCATAAAATGAGCTGCTAATTGCAAATCTGCGGTCGCTTTTCCATTTTCCGGCCGCCATCTTGGAAAATTGTAGCCCACACAATTGTATGATCAGGGGCCTAAGATAGCAAACCCACAATCATGAAATCGCACAATTGAATCAAGACGGGCCAAAGCTTACAATATGTTTGAAATAAAACAAAATTTTAATTGACTAATATATTGTTTATTAGCCAAAAATCAACATAATTTCAAATTTAAACATGCGCAATCAATAAGTATTCATAGAAAATTAGTTAACAATTACCTCTTATCAGCACTAATCAGTCTCTATAGTGTAGATTCAGTCTTAAAGTAATTATAAATAAGATCAATCAAGTAAAACCTTAGTTTTGGAAGTCATCAAAGCAATTTCTGTCATTTGTGAGACACAGATAAACATCACAGAACATCGACAACGTGTTCTACTGGTACACTTTATAGCGCGACACACTCGAGGCTCTTTCAAGGTATCCATGACTGTCCAGTGATTATAACCATCTCTTTGCTTGTCAACGGATAGTAAAGGCTTTGGACGATATCTTGAAGAGCTGAGCATTTCTGCAAACTCTGGTTCTCGATTATCTCCAGCAGTCCTTGGTGAACCTGCTAAAAGGTATTCACTTACTCTTAGACGAAAAGTCAGGAGGTCTAGGATGTCCTTAGTCTTCATTTTGTTTGCCCTGCAATCTTGTCTATACTCCATCCAAGAGTTGACTGTGGACAGGTCAAACAAATGTAGGATACCTTGATTTCTTTTCCCACCTAGGAACAATGGATACGGGTTCACTGCCAAAAGCTGTCGAAGTCATCAACACACATTTATTGTCCTTCCATTTTAGAATACAGATTTTTTCATCAGCCCTCACAATCTCTTCGTATTCACCTCGTTTCATAGCCGCATCCTTTTTAAGTTCATACTTTGATTTTTTTGTATTAAAACGGTTCATCATCAAAGTTCCTGTTCCATCCATATTTCTTTTCTGGAGCTCCTGCATCAATGGCAAAGATGAGAAGTATCTATCAAAGTAAAGAAAACTTCCTTCTGGTAGGGTGCTGGCTAGTCGTAAAACGACAGCAGGTCCCATCCCAAATTTTTCTGAATCAGGTAAATTGGTAATGTTTCCTTGGTAAATTTCGAAATCTAATACTTTCCCTGTGGAAGTAGTAACGACGAAATTTTTCAAGCCCTCGGGGCGGGGTTTATTTTTTACAACCACTTTTACCCCCCGCGCACTTTCCTCCAAATGGAACCATCTGTTCATCAATCGAATAGTGGATATCTTCGCGGGGCAGCTGCAGACAACGATTACGTACGGAGTCAATAACAGGTTGAACTCTCCACAGTTTGTTCTTTACTTGCTCCACTTCTTTGTTCACGGCATGAACGTTTAGAACATGCAGGTTTACCCTGAGGAGAAAAAATCTATCTCTCGACATAGCACTTGCTATGGGGTCGAACTAATAACGCTGGTTCCAAAACAATTTGATTCTTGGATAACTACAGCACCCCATTAAACCGAGGATGCCAAAAACGTTTTGATTTCCCCAGAAGTACAAACGGGCTTCAACTGATGTCCAGTTTCAGTCATATAATACTGATTAGTGGCTAACTAAACTACGCAAACTGTTCCATTAATTCCAGCGTGAAGTAGCGTCCAAAGTATTACGTTGGAGTTAATACTGCGTGTAGTTTAGGGTCTGAGACCCCTGGTATCGGTTTACCATGAAATTTCTTCTTCTTCCATCGCAAATTTGACAGTGGCATGTCTTCATCGCTGCTACTCGAAGACTGAGACTCAGATGGGGAAAGAATACTAGTTTCTTGGCCTGGAAAAGGCATGTCCTGCTGCTCTTCATCATCACTACCCTCATCCCCGGAGCCACTTAGGAATCCCTCAATCTGATCGTCGTGTAACAACCGTGCCATTATTGTAAGAATCTGCAAAATAAATAAAACACCTCTTAGAGTATAGGGTCGATAAGAGATAGCCTTCGGCCCCACTTCATACGATTGTGTCAAAAAAGTTCGGTAACTCATCACTGAAGCTTATTTACCAATTACAGTGTAAAAAATCACAAAAGTCGGTGAAAAAAACATTTAAGTGATGCTGATGATGATGCATTTATGACGTGCAAAAAAACTTTATAAATGAGTAAGAAATACTTATGTAATTCTACTTACATTCACCAAAGCCGGGACCGAAAAAAATCGCAGTACTAGGCAGGTCGCTGCCTGCTGGCCAACCCTATATATAAAAAAGTACTCTGTGCCAACTGACCGACGTGCGAAATTCACACACAAGGTAAAAGTTCGGCTCACGCGCAATCCTGTGAGATCGAGCCCGTTCGTATAGAATAAATAGTTTTTGAACAAAATTGAATCTAGTAAACCAAACAATCATGTAGGGCCAGTTCTGAAAGGGTTAAACCAATTATATATAACGGGTTTTTCAACAAGAACTTTGTATTTCAATTGGGGCAACACCAACAACATGACAGTTTTGACATTTAGTTTTTTGACCTATTCGTAGAAGATGCTTTGGCAATTGCTACAATGAATTCAATTTCGCTCGAAAATCGCATTAAAATAATTAAAATCCACTATGAAAATGGCGGTTCGGTTAAAGTTACGTTTCGTAAAATTCGTGATATTTTCGGACAACAAAATGGTCCTTCTGAGACCGCTATTAAGAATTTGGTCGCTAAATTTGAATCGACAGGCTCGGTACAAAATGTGCCAACACCAACGCGTGTTCGACCGGGTCGTTCAACTGAAAACATCGCAGCCGTGAGCCACAGTGTTGAAGAAGATCCAAATTTGTCAATTCCGCGACGTTCTCAACAATTGGGGTTATCCAAAACCACCACATGACGAATTTTGCGTAAGGATTTGGCTTTGAAGCCTTACAAGGTTCAACTGGTGCAGGAATTGAAGCTGACCGACCATTCACATCGCCGTAGATTCGCTCAATTCATTCAGGAACAGCCCGCTGATTTTTCTGAAAAAATCATTTTTTCAGACGAAGCCCATTTTCACTTGTCAGGGTACGTCAACAAGCAAAATAGCCGCATTTGGGCTTCTGAAAATCCTAAAGCGATTATTGAGAAGCCTTTGCATGCTCAACGTGTCACAGTATGGTGCGCTATGTGGTCTGGAGGCGTGATTGGGCCGTTTTGTTTTTCGAAGATGAGGCTGGAAATGCGGTAACGGTCAATGGATCACGCTATCGCGAGATGTTAACATCTCAATTTTGGCCTATTATTGATGACATCGATATCACAACCATGTGGTTTCAACAGGACGGTGGCACATGTCACACAGCCAACGAAACGATCAATTTATTGCAAACCAAATTTCCCGATCGCATAATTTCACGAAATTCAGCTGTTAAATGGCAAGCCAGATCGTGTGATTTAACACCACTGGATTATTTTTTGTGGGGCTATGTTAAGGACAGAGTCTATACGGAGCCAATCGAATCGATCGCGGCCTTAAAACTCAAAAATAAAAAATTTACGAAATAGACCCGCCATTTCGCCAAAAAGTGATTAAAAACTTTGATGAAAGAATCGACATCTGTCAGCGTGGTCGTGGTGGACATTTGCCAGATATCATTTTTCATTCATAATTGCCAAATTTTTCTCTTCGTAATACAATAAAAATTTGAATCATCTTCATCTAAACTCTTTGTTTTATTTTGTTTTAGAAAACAAAGTTCTTGTTGAAAAACCCTTTATAAATTATTCTTATGTAATGTTTAATTAGCATCAAGCGCAATCTAATTTTTCTGTTGGATAGAATATACCGTCCATAAACTTTTCCACATAAATTTTTATAACGAAAAGTAGCCTACGTCCTGAGATCTCAAGCTGCCTCTTTGTTTAATTTCATTACGATTTCATTACGATCGATTCGTAATCTCTATATATAAAAATCAATTATTAGTCTTATTAAAACTCGAAACCGGCTCAAATGATTCTGACGAAATTTTTGTGTGTGTTTGAGTCCCTGGATAATTTAGATTCACAATTAGATGTGGTAAGGTGGAGCTGTGGTCGCGATCCAGAAATCAACCGTGCGAAGCCGGGTGGGATCACTAGTCATATAATTCAATATACAGTCGAATCTCGTTAATTCAAACCTGCGATAATTCGAACCTCTCTATAATTCAAAGTTATCACGAGTTCCCTACAAAATATCTTTATAATTAACTATAAACTATGTGGCGTGAGAGCCGTGGTAGCTCAGATGGTTAACGCTCGCTGTAAATATAACAGAACGCGAGTAACCCGGGTTAGATCCCCGCCGGCACCAATGAAATTGCTAATTGCAATTTTAAGTGCTGATTTACCACGTGCTCGGCGGTTAAGGAAGACATCGTGAGGAAACCTGCATGTCAGAGGAATAAGAAAAAGATATTTTGAAGACATGTGAAGTTCGCCAACACGCATTGGGCAGCGCGGCGAACACTTCCTTGCCCTAAAACCCTCTCAGAAATGAGGGGAGGCCTGTGCCCAGCAGTGGGATGTATATAGGCTGTAACTTTACTTTATGTGGCGTACTTATCCTGGGTCGATGCTCGAGACCACAAAGCTCCGGATGTTAGCCTTAAGAAGAGAGCCTTTAACGAAGCCGCCAAGTCTTACAAAAAGGCGTTACGGCAAGCCAGTTTAGACCGCATTAAACGCATCGGTACAAAGCTCTCTGACATACCATCTGGCAGTAGAGCTTTTTGGTCTCTCGCCAAAGCGGTCGAGATAAACTTCTGTCGGTCTACACTGCCTCCGCTGGTAAAACCAGATGGCTCACTGGCGCATGCTCCTAAGGAGAAAGCGGATTTATTTGTTTCACTTTTTGCTTGCAATTCGCGTCTGGACAGTAGCAACAGCGTACCACCTCAATTACCTCACTGCGGTACCTCTATGTCAGAGGTCCGTATCACCAACAAGGAGGTTCTTAAAACCTTGCGAAGACTAGATGTGAACATAGCTAGTGGACCTGACGGTATACCGGCTATAGTTCTAAAGGTCTCTGCCCCTGAGTTGTGTCCTGTGTTGACGCGCTTGTTCCGCCTCTCATTCAGGACTGGAACAATGCCCAAATCTTGGAAGCTGGCCAATGTGCAGCCTGTACCTAAGAAAGGTAGCCGTCCTCCAAAACCTTCAATTACCTCCACACTCTGCAAGGTTTTAAATATATATATATATATATATATATATATATATATATATATATATATATATATATTTAATTACATACAAAACAAAATGACCTTCTTCTTTAAGTGCCTCTCCATTACTGAAGGTCGGCAGTCATCCTCCTGCATTCTTCTTTGTTCAGGGCTGGCCTGAACAGATCTTCTACTTTATCCAGGTCCATTTCCGGAAGTTACAGAGCCAGGACATTTTCCTTCTACCAACACTTTTTTTACCCGCTACTTTGCCCATCATAATAGTCTGCAGCAGTTGGTAACGTTCATGCCTTAGCACGTGTCCTAGGTACGCAACTTTTCTCTTAGTGACCGGCAATACGGGTTTTGCCGAAATCGGTCAGCTGGGGACCCTCTAGCGTATGCCACACATGTATGGGGCGAGGCACTTGACAACAGTGGGGAAGCACTTGCTGTTTCCCTTGATGTCTCGAAAGCCTTTGACAGAGTTTGGCATGCTAGCCTTTTGGGTAAGCTTCCAGCGTATGGCTTATCCCCTGGTCTGATTAAATGGGTAAAGGACTTTCTGAGTGAACGGTCTCTCCGGGTCGTCGTCGATGGCTGCTCATCCGATCCTGTGACGACTGACGCCGGTGTTCCTCAAGGGTCCGTTCTCTCTGCAACTCTCTTCCTGCTGCATATTAATGATCTGCTTATGCCCGGTATCTATGGGTATGCAGAGGATAGCACAGTTGTGGACAGTAAAAAAAGAGAGGAACCCCCTCTCTCTTAAAAACCCAAACCCACTTCAAAAAAAACCCCCCCCGCCCCCCCCCCCCGCCCGAAACTTGGTGTTCTTGCAAGGGTGCGGCCGTACTTCACGCCGGGGCAGCTTCTTAAACCTTATATAAAGCGCAAATCCGGTCGTGCATGGAGTACGCTGTCATATATGGGCTGGTGCTGCAAAGTGCCACCTGGCAGCGTTGGACTCAGTGCAGATACGTGCTAAGAGGCTCATTGGTGAACTTTATTTGGTTGATCAACCTTGTCAGCCTCGAGCACAGGCGCAGAGTAGCCAGCCTCTCGGTATTATATAGTATGCTTTACGGTGAGTGTGCGCAGGAATTGCACGCTTTAATTCCTCCCTCTCCTTTCCACCATCGGACGACCAGGCGGTCGGCGGGTCTTCACCCCTTTGTAGTCGCTATGCCACGCATTAGAACCAAACGGCTTACGTCAACTTTTTTAATGCGTACAGCAAAGGAGTGGAATAATTTGCAGATGTCTATATTTCCATCCGAATACAATCTGGGCGTCTTCAAGGCAAGAGTGAACAGGCTTTTGTTACACTAAGACAATGCGATTTACGATCTAAGGCTGCATCACCACTTACCACCTGGTGGGATTGCGGTCAAGCACCAAATTATACTAAAAAAAACAAAAAACACACAAATACAAAATACTACATAAAAATATCTTAGCGCAATTTGTCTGTCTCTTCTTCCAGCTCCAGGATCTTCTCATCACTCCTCAAAGTGCGTGCGTTATATGTTGCCAGGTCGTGTCGTCTTAGATGGTAGCCGAGCCTCTACCGGAGATACTTAGCACCCCCTTCCTCGCTGTTACCTTGGTCACCACCATAGCCGGGAATAGCTTGGCCGCCGGGGACTGGAGATCGTTTATTTGTATCGTTGCTCATGGGGGGTATATTGCGATAGTTGCCACGCATGGCGAGCGGGTTGACAACCGCAGTTTTTTATTGCTTTTTGCTGTTATCAGAAAGATGCTGCTGCTCATCTTCTGCCTCAGTTTTCCTCTGTCGTACGACACCCACACGCAGGTATGAGGTAGTGGGTATTTTACCCGTCACTACACGGGGCAATATTATAATTAATATAATTAAATCCAAAGACAAGCAAACTAATTGTGCGTATATTGGATCAAAAGACAATATTTCGAAGATTACTCTGAGTTAACTAACACCCATTTGCTAATAAGTTGTACTGAACTAATAAGTACTAGGTATACATATATAGGAACAACCTCCCTCAATAGAAAATTCAGGCGAGCCTCATAAATATAAACTGACAGGTTTCCCACAATGTTTTTCTTCAGTGGCTCCTTACATAAAAACAATTCTGTGTTACCGACTGGTCAAATAGCAACGTTATATCATTAAAGCGTAATAGAAATTGCTTAACTAAATCTCATCCAGAGTTTAATTTAACATCTCAGTATTCCCTATAAATGACAGCATGATAGCATACGTAAAAAATTGAAAAAGAAAAAGGCAAACAAGTCAGGTTATATTCTTAAATGCGAGTAGCACCTAGCTCTCGGACTAATGGTCACTTTTAGCACTATTATAAAATAAAAGTCAGTGATATATGTCACCATGTATTAAATAAATAAACACGTTTAATGTACGCCTTTGAAGCTCCTTTACTTATAGGGAACAGCCTTAGTTTTTATTATTGATATTACCAGGAAGCAGATCTATTGCATGAATATTATAATTGTTAAAAAATAACAACAAGAGAAAAACGCAGTCGACAACTAACCAAAAACAATAATAAATCTTAAATATGGTCACAAAATCAAATTAACACAGTTATAAAACTATAATAATCGAAAATTTGTCTATCAAAATACACGAACACAATCAGGAAACAAAATTTCTTACATACAAATATTGTATGACATATATTATAGAACATTGTAAAGGCAATCGCTAACATTAAGACATAAAATTGTGCACGAATATAACATTACAAATACACACCCAAATTAGCTTTGCATCCACACAATAGAAACTATCATTTCATTTACCCTAACTAGGCTATTTAAAAATATATTCCATTTAAGTGGACATTTAATTTTACACAAACACGCATTATGCTTTAAACAGCAGTTGTACAGCTTAGGAGCAGCAGAATGTAATTCATCATATAAATATCACGTGATAAAAGCTTCTTGCCTGTACAGATACGAAAGAAATTTCAAATAAAATTATGAATTTTTACGATAATTGATAGAATCAGGCGTTACTTTGCGGAAATCCATTATAATAAAGATATTAATAGTTAGTTTGCAACCATCCGCTAAATTAAATTAAATGATGTGTCTTCCCTAGATTAAAAAGCATCTCCCGCCCGCCCTCTATTGCGTGCAATAATCCCGTCACCACTAATCCCAGCACCACTACTCCCAACACCACTATTCTAGGAAAGACATACCATCGACGATAATACGACACGTGTTTCGCCTCTACACGAGGCATATTCAGGTGATGTTTGACTAGAGAGTCAACATTACCTGAAGATGCCTCGTGGTATAGTGGTGTTGGGAGTAGTGGTGCTGGGATTAGTGGTGACGCGATTATTGCACGCAATTGAGGGAGGGCGGGAGGTGCTCTTCAATCTAGGGAAGCCACATCATTTTATTTCATTTAGCTGATGGTTGCAAACTAACTATTAATCTTTATGAATTTTTACATTAAATTTACTTTTTATTAATAGACAAGTAATTAAATAAAATATATCATATGATAAATTTCCCAGTTGAATGTAACTTCACGATTGCACAATTATTTTTATTTCATTTTACAACTGCGTTGCATTCTTTTTATCATTATTTGTAGATGAGCTTTTATCACATAATATCATTAAAGCATAGCAGAAACTACCTAACTAAATCTTTATTAATATTTTGATTAACATTCAATCGACGGATTCTGTATTATTATTGGTAAAATGTGACATAAATAAATAAACAAATAAAGACATAAATAAACTAGATGTTGGAGTATCTTACACAAAAGGAATGTTAATAATATACTTTATAAATTTTAAATACGTCGTTGAATAGATTCAGTGCTTTATTTATTTTTTGTACACATGTGTAAGCTATCTTTTATACTTTGTATTTATCACATTAATAGAAACTTTTTGCATAGTTGTCCGACCTAATACTTTTTTATTATTACTGTGACTACACTAAGACTTCACCAAATGGCAGTTTTTGTTTTGCATAAATAAATACTATTATCTAAACAGAAACACAGATGCTTAAATATAAAATCTACCACATCATTTAGATTACATGAAAGCAAGTATATGACTAGGGTATAAATTCGATAAAATTCAAATTAAAAACATAAAAAACCAAATTTGTAAATTTGTAAATTCACCGACCTCTTACATATAAAGGTCAGTGATCGAATTTCATTATTTACGACATATATCTCTGTGACTACTACTTTGCCATTTGTAAACTTTCAAGCGATTTGTTGAGTTTTTATAATAAACAGAATTGTCACTAATGAATTAAATATCGCATGAAAAACTGACACTAAAAATTTTAAGACACTCTTAGAAAGTACAAATCTTCAGTCCATTTCAAGATTGAACATTAAATTAGCGTTAGTTATCAATGGATATTGAATATTACAAAAAATATGCAAGATATGCTTTTTTAAATGTAATAGAACAAGATCATTTAACAATTTACATTTTACAACAAAATGGTCAATAATGGAAGCTGCGATATAAATACTGATATTGTTAAAAGGGTAACATCCACTATATGAAATTCAAATAGGAATGTTACAGTAAAAATATAAATGTAATATGGAATTATACGTCAGTCTCAGTTTTACTGCTAGTTCGCCGACTTCTTCCTACAGACGTCGGATTGACCCAATGTGGCCCACTTAGTAAAAACTTCTTTACATTATACTCCATTCTCGCCAAGTCTTCAGGTGAAATTTCTTTATCCATTGTAGATTTCAAGGCATCTTCTAATTCATTGTAGTTGGCCATATTATTTATATTGCAATGCGAATTATCAATATTTATTTCTGTTACAGTTACTTCACCACTCTCTACTGGAAATATTGTTTCCTTTACAATGTTACCTGTTAGTTTTAAATTGGTATTCTTAATTCCTTTATCTTGAGTAGTGTGTTGATTAATTAGATTCTTAGACGTGCAACTATTGTAAGCATTATTGGAATATGACTTGGAAAATTTACTAACGGGATGCGGCATATTGAGTGCAAGTTCATTTAATGTTTCAGTGAGTCTGCTCAACTTGCTGTCCCTTCTTATACTTCGGTTTACAAAGCTACATTCGTCTTCTAATGGATCGTTGAAATTATTTTGCTGTTCTAAATTTTTTTCAACCCATTCTGCAACTCTGAGTAACTGTTGCTTCTGAAGAACAGCTGCGCTATCATCGCTTGACAAAGAACTTGTACTTTGCTCATTAGTAAACACTTTTGAATTTTCGTTCACCTTTAAATGTGTCTGAGTCAGATTTGGATATACATTGACTATGGCTGGCAATGATGATTTTTGTTGCTTTGCAGTCGAATCTGCCTTTTTATCTAGACTTGTTAAATCCCCAATTGGAGGATAATCTTTAGAAATCTTGGTGTTTTCAATCGAATGAAGTTGAGACATGTCAATTTTCTTCAAAGGTCTTGTAATTTGTGTCGCTTTGGTTTGTTCATAAAGATCAAAGTTAAATATTTTCACGTCTTGATTATCTTTGGAACTAACAAAATTATATTTTTTATCATTTGCATTATCTGTGTTGTTGTTTTGTAAATCATTACCAACATTAAAATCATTTAGCAAATTATCTATTTCTAATTGGTTTTGTTGACTGCTAATGCTTTGAGTATTATTGTTATTGTGTTCAGAACTATTTGAAAAATTATGAGTTTTTAATGGTTGTAATGGCGAAGAAGACACATTTAAAAGAATTGGATTGATAGAACTTACTTTAACAGGATTTTCTGAGTCTTTATTATTGTTATCAACGTGAACGTCAATGAGTGTACTTTCAATTACAACGTTTTCATTATTTGCATCACTTTTAAAATCAACATCAGTTTTTACTAAATCGATAAAATTTTCTATGCCATCATTCGGGTCCTTAAAAATGGAATTTTCATTACTTTTACTTTGGCGCCTATACAAGACTGGTGGTACATCTGGTTCGGCATTATCAAGTAGTATATTTTTGGAACCAGCCTGCATACGTAGATGACAAAATCTTGGCCCTGGGCCTACTTGAGTATAAGATTTATGGGTGCTAACTGTACTCTTTGCTACAGAAGATGTGCGGCTAGCTGCCCCCATCGAACTTTGTGAATTTTTTCTCATGCTAGAAGTCTCACCTAATGTAATCTGATTTTTAACTTCCTTATCGATAGCTTTATCTCGAATTAGTAAATCTTCATTAGCAGTACTATGAACACTACTTTTCACACTTGAAATTGAAGTTTTGGTACGTTCACAAAGCTTATGATGCACTGTTGGTTCTATTTTCATATTGTTATTACCATTATTATTATTTTTCTTCAACTGTTTCAATTCCTCCTCAATTTTTTTGATAGCTTCATTTTCAAGGTTACAACCCATTTTATTTTTCTCATCACTTGGAACATTTGATTCAATAATATTCGAATGCACAGTCTTTTCGGTCTTACGGTTGTTAATTTCAGTCACTGAATTTGGTTGTGGTATTATGTACATATTGCTAAGAGCAATGTTAGATTTTTCATTTATTAGTTTTATACCATGAGGCGAAGTGCTCCTCATACTTAAATTTGATTTCACGGATTTAATTTCAGAATTGCAATTAAGGCATAGCGAATTCTTCATTTCACCGCTCAGTCGTGTCTGCGTTGATACCGAATAGTAACCTTCGTTGTAAGAGAATGGCTTGTTTTGTGATTTAGTGCACGTGCAGGTGTCACAATGCTTGGTGAGAGTATCCTGGATGCTATCTTCTAAAATTTTCGACATGAGTGAAGCTGATATATTGAACTCATACTCACTTGCATCAAATGTTTCTAAATCATTGACTGTTTTAGATTGACTTGAACTGGATGGTTTCGATGTTTTGGACACAACATATTGTGACACCCTGGCTTGAGTGTCAATTGGAAGCTGTAAAATAAGACATTTGTAATAACTATAAAAAAATCACTTTAAATAAAATTATATGTTGATTAAAACTACTTTTACGGATTTTATCGCGTTTATTTATTTTATTTTTTATACCCAACAGTTCGGGTGCTTCCCAGCACCCATGGTCACGGGGGACTGAGGTGACTAATGTCCCGATGTCAAAGTTAACCCGAGTACCTTCAGCTTTTTCAAAAAGCTGAAGGTACTCCTCAACTCAAAATAGAAAAACCTTTGTTGCCAACCCATCTGTCAATAGTGGCAACTATGGGAAATATCATCATTATATATTATATATATCATTAAGGGGATGGGCCTTTTCAACCCTATCTGCCAGCTGGATTGAGCTCCCGATGTCGCGCTGTGAGCCAACTTTGCGTCCCTATAATCCCTCGGTAAACCTAACGCCTGAAATTCTTTTTATAATAAAGTAGGGCGTTACAAAAGGTGCGAGCTCCATGGAGGGTGGGAAGCCGGGGGGACGAATTCTCAACACATAAAAAATATGGACAATACGAGACCCATTAGAAGAGAAGGAGACGTGTCAAAGTTGTTCACCTTAGACACTGACAAACCGGAAGGAACCGCAATTAAACCGGCGGTTCCACAGACTGTACCACCCAGCGTAGGTGGCCCCACCAAGGGGGTAATTTCCGCGCTGGATGTTCCCAAAACCAGTTCCAAATCTGAGGAGCTGGACGCGAGAAATGAGCAAGAGGCCGCGAGTAGCAAAACTCCTGTGGAGCCCCAAAGAACTGATAACCTTTTCTCTGCTGCCTGGCAAGTGGTGAGCTGTAAGGGGAAGGGCATGGCACCCAAAAAAGTTACTTGCCAACCTGACGGACCATCAGGTGGGTTTATTCCAGGCCTTGCTGCAAAGGCCAAAAAAATAATAAGCAGCGAGAAAAAGGCCGCAGAGAAAGAGTCGCGCTCGCTGCTTCCAAGAGCAGCACTAAGGGAGCTGCGCAAGCCACTGTCACTGCGGTGCTTGGGGCTGGAACTAGTAGCCGCACTGAAACTGGGAAGGATAAATATCCAGTCCGAGTAGTAGGCACGGCCGTCGGAATCAGCTCCGAAGAAGCTGGAAGCTGAAGAAGAAGAAGAACCAGCGCGGAAGACATCCGCCAGGAAGCAGAGAGCAGCCAAGCGTCCTGGAAAGTAGGATAGAGCAGCGCCAAAAGGATGCTGGATGAGTCCACCTCGCCGAGAGGCGAGCACAAAAAAGTGCGACTCAAACAGCAACCAAAGGCTGCAAGAACGAGCTACGTTTCTGCTGCTAAAGCAGATTTGGGTGTGGCCTTAACGTGTGCACGTTCAGGTCACATAACAAAGGAGGTAGCTGATGACATCCTCGTGCCTATGCAGAGGAAAATGATCAGCGAGGCCTGGAGTAACCAGGACCGTGGTGCGTCGGGCCCAGTTTTTAGAAGCAAACCCGTTTACACGGAGGGTGTCCTGAAGCTGTGGTGCGACGACCAGAAGGCTCTGGACTGGTTGAAGGAGAATATTAATACACTCGACGTCAAATCCAACACCTCCCTGACTATAAAGAAACAGTCCGAGATACCACAAAGAATCAAATGTGGTATTCTTATCCCTGATGCCCAAGGTGCCCGGAAGGACTGACGCGACATTGGTCGTGTGCTTGAGTACCACAACCGCTGGGTAAACATCAGGGACTGGCTGCTACTCAAAGCGGAGAAACAGACGGACGGGTGGTTAATCGCGTTATCCCTGCCCATACGCAAAATACGCACTACTTTACTATAAATATCTAAAATTGTGAAATATCAAATAAAATATTATATACGAGGGATGATCCAAAAGTAATGATAATCGGTTACTTCAGGTCCGCATAAAAATCCAAAAAAAATATTTTTTGCTTGCTTATATACTCACTACGTCAGCCTAAAAAAATCATATAAATAGATCACGATTTCCGGGAGATACATTCATTTGAATACGAACTGTCAAAGAGATAACATCAACATGGAGGAAAACGAAATTAGAGCTGTCATCAAGTACCTCTGTTTGAAAAAAATGTCTTCAAAAGACATACACAGTGACTTAGTGGAAACATTGGGGGACTCTGCTCCTCCATATTCACGCTACAGTTGCACGCTGGGCCAAGGAGTTTAAACTGGGCAGAACATCCACTGAAGATGAACATCGCGAAGGACGCCCATCCACGTCCCTCACTGAAGACAACGTGAAAAAAGTCGAAGATGTTGTGTTGGTAGATCGAAGAGTGACCATCAGGCATATAGCTGAGGTCACAGGGATCTCATATGGCAGCGTTCAAAGAATCCTTGCGAACGAGTTGCATATGAAAAAGGTCTCTGCGCGTTGGCTACTCAGAATGTTAACCGACGAGCAAAAGAAAAATCGAGTTGACATTTCGAGGGTCAATCTCGAAAAGTTCCAAGCAGATCAAGAAATTTTTTTGTTTCGTTTTGTGACTATGGACGAGACCTGGATCCACCATTTTGATCCTGAAACGAAACAACAATCGATGACTTGGAAGCGAGCCTCCTCACCGACGCCAAAGAAATTCAAAGTTTCAAGTTCGGCGGGAAAGGTTATGGCATCTGTTTTTTGGGACGCTCAAGGCGGCCTTTTTCAAATATTCCACATAATTATATGGTGGAATATTTGAAAAAAGGGAGCCACTACTACGGGCTCTTACTACGCAGACCAAATAAGAAGATTACGGGAGGCCATTAAGTAAAAAAGACGCGGCAAACTGCGAGCTGGAGTGCTGTTTCACTAAGACAACGCACCGGCTCACAAAGCCGCAGTTGCGATGGCTGCCATTCAAGAAACGGGATTCGAACTGCTCGAACACCTTCCCTATTCGCCAGATCTAGCTCCTAGTAACTTCTACCTCTTTCCTCGGCTCAAGGAACGCCTCCGAGGCAAGAAATTCGAAGACGATAGCGAAGTAATGGCCGCTGTTGAAGCGTTTTGGGAGGGTCAAGACAAAGAATTTTTTTCAAAGGGAATCCTGGGTTTAGAAAAAAGATGGACTAAATGTATTGATTTGTTAGGAGACTATGTAGAAAAATAAATTATTATTTTAACTTTAATTACCGTGTTTTATTTTCATTATCATTACTTTTGGATCACCCCTCGTATAATTGAAACAGTCTATGCAAGAGTCCTTTGATTAGCAGTGGACTTTTTATAGGCTATAGTGAATAAATGTAAATCGATGTCAAATATATTAACTCACATTATCGAGTTTCTGAGAAACAAAGTTGTCCGGTTTGCATTGCAGCAACTGGATTGCCAAGTTCATGTCATTTTTGTATCTTTCCTGCAAAAAAAAATTGATAAATTTGAATATGCTATGTAGTGAGTGTACTAATAAAAAGTTAGCTTACTAAGAAAAAATCTCATAGAACTTATCTATAAACTGAAATCTATAAAGTTGAAATACACTAAAAATAAATTGAAATTAACATAATGAAAAATACTACATGAAACTTTTCCTCCCATTGTATTAAGTATAGTGCATTTTTATCAACAAATAAATATTTTTATGTGGGCGTTAACCTCTCTCAAGTTACAAGTAGTAATATTTGCCAGATCGTCCTAAACATTTTTATTACAGTATTTTAAACACTAAAACCGTATAAAATTACATGGTAATATCACTAACATAAAAAGTGACACCACGCAACCAATATATTATAGCAGCCTAATACTGCTGTGTTTTGTATAGTGAGTGTAGAGATCCGGAGACCCTTTTTCACTGGAAACGAGACATTCCATCTTAGTCCTCAGGGGTGACAACATATCTGCGTTTTGATTCTTAATCGAGTATAAATGTAGATATCTATGGGCCACAGCATCCACTTACCATCAGGTGGACTGTGTGCTCATTTGTCACCCTTGTTCTGTAAAAAAAATATAAATCAGTTACTATAGTTAACAATTAACATAAACCGAAACATAATGGCCATTTTTTATCACCAATTTGTTGATTATTATTAACTGACTGTCAGCATTGATAACTAAAATTGACATCGTTCGTAATCAAAGCATAAACATTTACATAGTAGAGCCATGATGCAGCCATATTATAGCTGTAGCTTGAATGGGTCGGCTCAACCGGGGCATGACCAAGCTCTCACAGAATAGCAGCATAATGCTGCTGTGTTTCTTATGGTAAGTGTGTAGAGATCGTGAGACCCTTTTTACTGCAATCAAGGAATTCCATCTTAGTTCCTCAGGTGAGACAACGCATTTGCATTTTGATTCTTAATTGAGGATAAATGTGGATGTCTATGGGCTACAGCATCCACTTACCATCAGGTAGACTGTGTGCTCATTTGTCACGCAATGATATAAATAACATTGGTATTTCAAATATGCAACATCAAGATCAAGAAAACATTAAAATATAAAAATAACAATAAACTTTATATTATGCACTAAAACGTTATAATTTTAAGGTTAGCAAATCATAAGCATATTAAAAATATTATCTAAGTAGCACCCTTTCTCTCTCACACCTATTGCTTAAGCTATTGCATACTTGCCTGTTCACAGAATAATAAAATAACATGATAACGACAGAAAATTAGATAATTAACTTTAAGAAAACTTGTCGAAACGAAAAGATAATAACAATAAACAATTTAGAAAATTGGCATTACAGTTCAATATACAATACTTTGTAAATCACAAAAATGAAGGTATTTCATAAACACAAAAATGAATGATATTTAGTTCTGACGTCAAAAAAGAACACACATACTTAATAAAATGTATAAAAAAGTTTTTTAAAAATGGGCAAATCACCATGGTCTTTGACACTTGCCCTGATATAATGTATTTTATGTATGTATAAATTTATTTGCCCTTATGCATTTCTCTTTTTTTTTATTCCAAAATAAGGAATATTTTGTTTTATTAATAAGATCTCATTTTTTAAAAGTTATGGTATTTATTAAATTTAAATAGTTGCTGTAACATTCTGTTGTAATAGGTATCAAAATTTCAGTTACAAACAGATATGTGACTCATAAAATAGTTACCAGAATAATAAACTGATTACATTTAATAAAAAATAGTCCATCATAATACAACTTCATAATACTACAAATATAAATATTTCCTGTTGCCAGTATAATTTAGCTTAACGCAACCCCTCTCTAGATGCAAATTAATAGAATATAGCTTACAGCATACAATATATAGCAATATAGCATACTCATCTCTAGTTTGAAATACCATGAAATCTCAGATAGAAATAGTAGGTATCAATATTTTACCAAAAATTAAAAAACTAACATTTTCTATCTGAAGCATACTTTAGTTGTGCTTAGATTCCGCTAATCTCACAGATAATGTTGCAATGTCTTTTGTCAGCTGACTCTTTTCACTCTTCATCTTGTCTACCATCTGCAACAACTTATCCTCTAACACTTGATTTAATTTTTGTACTCTTTTATGTGAGTCATACAATCTGAAAAACATAAAAATATTCAGTTTATATTTATCTTATAAGTAAGTAATTTCAAAAAAGAATTAATATTTCTGTCTATTTTTTAATTGTGGCCACGATTTATATTACAACCAGACACAGGCTTGCAACACCACTACTTTATAAAAGCTTTTATCATATATAAAACATAACATAAACACTCACGCCTGTCACCCAGAGGGGTAGGCAGAGACTACAGACTTCCATTTAGCACGATCCTGACATACCTTTCTCGCCTCCTTCACATCTATACACCTACGCATACATGCTCGTCGGTTAAGGGTACTCTTAATTTGGCCCATTTTTAGTATATCGCCAATTTGGTCGACAAACTTCCGCCTAGGGCATCCCTTTCCGACTCTTCCATTCACTTCTGCAACATATATTTGCTTTCTCAGTCTTTCCGCATTCATTCTTTCTACATGACCAAACCACCGAAGCATTCCTTTCTTAATCCTGGTCACCGCATCATCTTGCAAACCACACTCTTCTTTTATCACACAGTTTCTCACCCTGTCACTCAGATTCAGCCCTAACATACACCTTAGCGACCGCATTTCTACTGCATTTATTCTACTCTCGTGCTTCTTCTGCCACACCCAACTTTCACTACCATACGTTAAAGAGTAGTCTCATCAAAGGTGTAAGATGTGACATATCACAATTGCTAATTGAGTATGACTTAAAATATTATTAAATCATTTTAATTATTTAGCCCTGCCAATTAAAGAGAATCCTTTTTGCACTAATAATAAAGAGTACATTTAACTTATTTTACCTTAGGGTGGCTGTCTTAAGACGAATAAACAGAGTAACCCTAAAGTACATGCTCAAAACTATATAATTTAATTGTATGATGTTAAAAATTTGTATTATTTATTATATAATTTATTCCACCTATACTATTAAATGCAATTTGATTAAATAAATTACCTTTCATATTTCTCTCTCCAAGTGTCAACTTGTTCTTCTAAATGGTTAGCTCTAGTTGTACACTTAACAAATTCTGCTTCCAAACCTACAATATGTGCATCTTTTTCTGCAAGATGTTGCCGAAGGTTTTCCACTTCTGCATGCAACTGTGCCTCATCCGCACCATTGTTGCATTCCTAATAATTATGGTGCAACATCAAAAAAAAAAATCAAAAAAACAAGCAAGTGTAATGTATGTTAACATTTAGAGTGTATTACCATGAAACATTTATAACAAAAAGATGATTTTCATTCGAATTTGAGAAATTGATAAAATTAATGATGGATGCAGCAAATAAATAAAGAAAGGTGTGCATCAATGTGAAGAAAGTTAAACAGCATATATTTATAAAAATTCTTGGTTAGTAATATAAATATTGTGCATTTGTATTTGTGTATGGCATTATTTTAATATTTCATCTCCATCAAAAGCTTCTGATTTATGCACTGTGAAAGAATTATAAAATAACAAATGATTATTTATAACTGAAACTAAGCGGAAGTGACAACAAAATATACAGGCCACCAGATGGGAAGTGGGTACTGCAAACCATGGGCACCTATAACCAACTTTAGCAAATTAGCTGTCCATTGCACCGAATACAATTGTCGCTTGGGTTTGTCAAATCCATTGTACTGTAAACGGCACACACGCCCCTATGTCTTTCTTTAAGCTCTAACTTCATGGACTTATGAGTTGGTGTGTTCTATTTGTCAGCACTTATCAACAGAGCACAATAAATAAGATAAAAAAACATTTAATTTTTTTTCTGTGTGGGAAGTTGAAAAAAATAAGAACATAACTATATTTAAGCAGTGGAACAACATTACAGACAATAAGTTTTTGCAGTGCATTGCACTCTTTTGGCTTTTGTTCTAGCAGATTCTGTAAGACTTTCAATGTCAATAAGTTTTGTTTATAACAACCAAAGTATCATCTTTGAATAGATATACCCTAACATTGCTGGGTTCTAAAAATGAAAAATCCTATTGGATCTTAACAGTGTACTTGAGGATGATAAAGACAGACTTTCGAATGGCATTTATATCAATATTTTGCTTTTTTTTAACTAGACGTTCACTATTTAAAAATTAGTCATTTTGAATCCATTTGATTAAGAATATTACAAAAACTGAATTCGACATATAAGGTTATCAAAAAATTCTGTATGGGGACAGTTAATGTGTTAAACAAAGAACCACTTCTAAGAACAAAGATGGAATGCCTTACAACCTGTGTGGGCTTTCTATAACTTGCACTGTGCAATAAAACTGCCAGTGTTGGCTTTCTATAACTTTCAGAGCAACAGCAGTAAAAATCTGCCAAATGTTTGTGCCCCGTATGTATTATCATTTAAATAACACATAGTAACATTTATCATTAATATAATGATAAATGTTAATAAATTGCTTATAATCATACAACTATGGTTCACCTTATGAAATTCATTTTATACAGTTTATATACAGAAAACCAAATCGCTAAAATAAAATAATAAACTTTCTTTATTACCATTCATCAAATTTAAAGAAATTATACATAGTTTTAATGTTATTGTAATTTTCATACATATTTATTAAAATTTTACCTTAAAAGAAGATTTACTATTGCTTTCATCCATCACAAATATATTTTAATTTTACATTTCACTTAACCGAGTTCTTGTTTGTTAAAGAGCCACGTTACACGAAATGGAATGTTATATCATAATATCAATCATCCACTAAACAAAATACCAAAAAATCAATCTTATATCAGCTTTATATATTTACTTTGGAATGACTGAGTGTAGTTGACTGATTACACTATCAAGAACAATGTGATTATTTTGTTAATATCTTTATTGAAATAGTGTATTCGGTGTAATATAATGAATTATAAAATATTTTCCAAATCTTCTTATTGTATCATCGCTCAATAGTAACTATAACAATTAATAAACTAGGGATGTTCGGTGATCATCGATGTTAAAAATTAAAATATCGATGTTGCCACATATCAAACATCGAAACATCGATGTCAATAAACCAATAATCAAGTAATAAGAACTTGTGAACAATGCAAACTCACGAAATCGAAATCAACTATAGTATGTACCAAATCGATTGAGAAAAACGAACAATGACCTTTCGTTCGTTTAACCAGGGATTACAAACCTTCAATATATAGGCACATTGTATATGTAGTACTTTCTTTATAATGATTTTCTTATAATGATTGACATAATATATATTTGTTAACTATTATTAAAAAGTTATGTAAAAGATCGCTGTAGAAGAAAAATCATCTAATGTTATAAAGTATTTTATTCATTTAACAACAAAAAGCATTAATTTATAACACATATAAAGATTCGAGTGATAACGACACCGAATAAGTACGTACTTATTCAAAAGATAAAACTTTAATATTATATAAGAACTTTATTTTTATTCGGTGCATGCGGGCCGGCCCATAAAAAGTGACGCATCTCTGGCTGCTATTGTCACGTTTCTCTTAGAACGAACTGACGTAACACGCGGTTTGTGTATTTTAAAGGGATGGATTTGCAAAAGCTCAATATGGTGATTATAATGCTTCAAATATTTTTTTTATATGAAACTGTTATTAAATGAATTGCTGTGTTACTTACCATAAATTTTTCGCAATGTACCGTAAGATTTTACGATGTTTATAGGAACCACAGACAATATTATTTAAGAAACAAAAAAAACATATGTGCTGACTTAGAAGTGTGAATAATATCAATATTTATATATTGTTATCACCTCTAAAGTCTAAACTGAGATTTTGTAAGTTACGGCTTTTGACACTCAGCTCATATCTGAGGTCATTGTCCATTTATCTCAATCGATTTGGCACATGCAATATTTCATCTCCAGGTTTAAAATTTTGAATAACTCAGGATTCCTAAACGCATCGATCACTTAAAAATATCATTAGAGTGTGTCAAACTCACTGTCAAGCAAGTGTGAACTGTCACAAATGTCACTCTTTTCACTTTGTTATTCTGTGGTGTCGTTGTCGACTGTCGCTTATAAACTATTCTACATAAATTGATATTCAAATTAGATATTTTTCCCCTGCTGTCTATACCCATATAATTTTAAAACAATTTGTATCTACATCATTAAAGATAAAGATATTTATTTCGTAAAAACATGAGTAAAAAATACAGGTGTTAAAAAAACTTAAAACGAGTTTTATGTTTTACCATTTATGGCGTACAAAAATTATACTACAAATATTAATTATTCTACAAGACAAATTAACTAACCCTTCGTTCATAATTTTAGATGTGCAACAATTTTAATGGCGTCTCGTAAAATTGCATTCGAGAAATGTCGCAATACATAATTTAGCTTTAAACAAATCAATCACTTAAGAAATCAGGCAATCTGTAATAACATTTGGCTATCAAATATTTTTTAAGATGTAGCTTAAAAAGTCTGGTAGGCAATTGTTTGATGTGTTTGGGGATTTTATTGTATATTATTGGCGCCAGACAGAAAATACTTTTATGCATCAATGCCGTTCTTGAACCAACTGCGCATAACCTACTATTATCCCTGCGATTGCGAATTGTGACGTCCGATAGTTTGTTAAACAATTTAGGGTTACTTTGAACGAAGTTTGCTACTTCATATATAAATAAGGAGGGTAAGCTCAAAATGTTGTGCTCAATGAAATATGGTTCGCAGCTATCAGTAATTTTAAGACCGAACATAGCTCTGATGCACCTTTTTTAGGACTTAAATCATCATTCAATTATATTTGGCTGTTTTTTTGAGCTTGGGGTAACGAGTTTATTGTTTGCTTGAAATTTATGTAAATATATCACTGGGCGACAGTTTTATTGCATAGTGCATTCGAATGTGCATTTTATAACCGGCTGTGTATACTTACTGCTTGGTCTGCCAGATTAAAAATTATGAATAAAGGTGACGGAAAAGTCATTATTTTGTTTTAGTAAAGTTTGTTAAGTTTTTCTCTATAATCATATTTTTTTTATTTCGCGATAGGAGTAATTGATATAAAACCTACCATACCACAGTAAATTTTCTCATAACGGACAGACGGAAATTTCCCTATACACTCATAAGTGTATAGGAAAATTTAACCTCTCAGCTACCAAGCGGCCGAATTCGGTCGCGGTGATATTCCGTCAAATACCAAGTGACCGAATTTGGCCGCACCCACCCACAGCACTTTAATCCATTAATAGTTATTGTTAGAGACTACTTTTCTATAAAGAAGTTTGGCATTATAGACTCAATATGAAATTTTCTATCCTCTAGTGCAATAAAAAGTCAGTTAGTCTATGGTTATTTATTTATAATCTACGTTCATTACGTACGCCATTTTCATGTGGATTTTATTCTGTTTTGTTGTGTTGATTTTTGGATTTTTCTAGTGTTTTAGTATAGTGTTTTATTATAAAATTGGTATGAAAGTTTTTGTGTGATTATAGTTTATCGTTCTACGTAAATAATTTCGATTAATATAAAGAAATAATAGTGATTTTCACGCTGCAGACATCCGCTTGTTATGTATCCGTTTTTTGTTATCAAAATACAATAAGGTCTTTTTGTAATTAAGTAAAAACTGACTTTGGTTTAGACTACAGGATAGAGAATTTTGTATAAATTTTATAATTCCAAACTTCTTCATAGAAAAAAAGTCTCTAAATATAAGTTTTAATGGTTTAAAGTGCTGTGGGTGGGTGCGGTCACATGCGACCGCTCGGGATTTTACGGACGCATGCGACTGCATGGGATTTTATGGGGATTGAATGGTTGAAGATCAAAATAATAACATTCATCATCATCGACAATTTTTTTTTAAATTACTGTTTGACTCTAAATTTGTTAATAATTTCTTTTATTTCATAAATAATAAAACATAAACAACACTACTAATTTTTATTAATCTAATATTAACCTATTAAATAAGTACCTGTGCAATAACATAATGACCAATATCGATGTTTTGAGTAGGATAAACATCCCTATAACAAACGTAGGTAGGTAGGCACTAGTGTGACCAGACTAAATTTTACTAAAATACCGATGTACCTCAAAAATACTGAAATATACCGACTTTCACAGGGCAAATATATCAATTAAAATTTTTATTTTCTTAACATAGTTTATGAATATGATGAATTCATAAACTTTTCGGAAACTAATACTAACTCTTCTTTGGAAACTAAATTGGATTTGTAACATCACACATATGTAGTTAATTTAAGGTCAATCGGTTCATATGTATTTAAGTTAAAGTTCATACGGTACGTATAAAAAAGACACAGCAAAAGATTTGTTTTAGAATTTAATACTAATAAAAAACAATTATTTTCCTACACAAAACAAATCAGATTTTTTTAAAGTAATGAAGTTGTGTAAATTAAGCAGTTTTTCGGAGAATATTAAATCCTACCTCGTAATTATAGTAATTTTATTCGCACTTTATGTTCTGTAAAATCTTTAATAATATTTGATAAATTTATACTGTCACAAACCTTGTGTTCTATTGAAATCATAGTTAATAAAGATAATCTATTCTGTGTCATGGTGAATCGCAGATATCTTTTCATTATTTTTAATTTAAAAAAGCTTCTTTCACCATTTGCAACTATTACTGGTAAATTTTAAAGGATCCTGAGCGCAATACTGATATTTGGACCAAATCTTAAGTCTGTTACAAATTTCAAAACATTTTGAGGAGATAAATTACTATTTAAAAACATACAAAGGACTGAAAACTCCTCACAAAGTGTTAATGCATTTATATCGCTTGAGTTCTCATGAGTTAAAATAGGTTGGAGGTTCTTACAATGTTCTAACAATTCATCTTTTGGGAGTTCTCATAAGGCATATATGTTATACAAAAAAAAAGGAAAATGTTTACTGTGCTCAGAAATCTGGGAAATTCTTAATTCTAAGGAGTTTATGGTTGTATTCATAATGTGAAAAAATACTTCAATTTTATATTTTTGACGAGGCTCAATAATTGATTCGTCAACACACTCATAACTAAATTGCATTTTCTTGGATCGTGCACGAGGTCTAACCACATTTTCAAAGTCTAACACTTCGCAATCAATTCCAGTAGCTGAGGCGTCTTCAAGAACTTGAGTAAAATACTCATCTGAACGTGAGTTTTCAAAGAAATCTTTTGTATTTCTAAGTTATTTAATGACGGAAACTAAGTCAAAATTATTAACTTTGCATTAATTTACTAACAGGTTTTATGCGATTCAAAGTTTGAAATTCAAGTTTTGTTAAAAGTATCGAGTACCTACTTATAAAAGTATGGATACCGTGAAACCTTACAACTTTGCCCTTGGGGGACATCTTTGCCCAAACACGAATATTAACTAAAACTACCGATAGACATTTTACTTTAACAAATGTCAACTTTGTATGGTGTCTAGGGAAAACTAGAGTATCTGTTTGACAGCACTGACTACTACAATCGCAGCTAACTATATTCAGGCATCTGTCAGCAACCGTCAAATGGACAGTGTCGAAGGTGGTGCAAAAACATTGTTGCAGTTTTGCATCCCGCATTGCCAAGAAACGCTGCGCAGGTAAGATTCATTATTATTTACATATAGGG